CCTACATGGCCTCCCTGTATTTAAAGCCTACCCAGAGAATGCACTTATAAGGCCAATTTAAAACACGTGGTCTTCATGTCCCACCAACCAGGACCCTCTCTCCATCCAGGCATCTTCTCCCGATTTAGTTTGGAAAAAATGGTCGCTAGAATGATGGCTCTGTTTCTCCTCTAGACAAGAAGTTCATGGGGAGAATGAGTCAATTCCTCCTGGACTTTCAGGAGCCTCTGAGCGGAGGGAGGAGGACAGAGAATGGCAACAAACAGAAATCCTAGAGAGACAATCACTGAGCATTTGTCATGAGGCCATTCGTAGGACCCTGCCTATAGAGCGGTGAAGGGCCATTGATCTGGTTGGGGGGAGGGAGTGGCCCCTGAATGGGTGACATCTCCAGCAAGGGAAGGCACAGATGTCTGGGCTGGCTGAGATAAGAGGCTTCTCAGGAAGTCTGAGTCACCTTGGGCTCTCAAAGCATGAAGACCTCACAACAACACAGCCTGGAGGCAAAGCCAGCGTTGCCTCCCAGCCTGGGGGCCCTGGGAGTCAGCATTTCCTGTTGGTGTCCTTTGACCTGGGTGGCCACCACCCCTGGGAAGTTTCCAGCCACCCTCACCCGTGCACTGTGTGAGCCTGGTGTTAACAGGTCTTTGTCTCTCTGCTCATCTTGCATTTATTTCCTCTGGAATGTTCCAAGCCCCTCGTATCACCCTGTGCTAGGAATCTGAACATTCCAGGGTGGGAGAGGCTTCAAGTTACTCATTCCTCCATGTGATTTCCCAACGGAGGATCCACAGTCCTGAATTCTAGTCCAGGCCTACAAACTAATGACGGTCAGGGTCAAGGCCACTCTCTGAACCTTGATTTCCTCATATACCTAATTGGGGGTGAGGAATAAGATGGAACAGTTTGGGGAAAATAGACTTCTAGAACTGGGATGATGTTAGGACCTTTATACTTCCTGCAAGGATTTGCTGGCTGATGCCTGCCATTCCATCATCAGATGGAAAAGAAATAGTTTAAGCTGTTATTATTCCCATTCTCCTTAGTGATGCGACCCAACAGCAAAGTACACAAAGACACTGGTTCCCTCCAGGGGATGGAGGAAGCCCCGGGAAGACTGGGGAAGGGAAGAAGCACAGAGAGAAGATCTCACTTCACATGTTTCTTAGGATGTAGCCTCACTGAAGGGACTTTCAGAGATTGTAACATACAGAAACATGTGTTAGAGTTGAACAGTCATGGGAAGCCAACGAATCCACCCTTGATTTTCCTTCCACCCTTGATCTTGCAAGACCATGACTTCAGAGTCTTACCAAAGTTTCCAAAGCCAGGAGTGTTGGTCTGGTATCTCCACTTAACAGCTCATGACACTGGGCAAGCCACTCAACCCCTTGAGTCTCAGTTTCCTCGACTGTCAAATGGGGATGACAGAAGGACGACGAGGAATAAAGGAGACCATATATGCCATGTCTGGCAATTGCTTAATTGGGCTTTTTAAGATTTTATTTACTTATTTAATTTAGAGAGAGAGAGCACAAAAGGGGGAAGGGGCAGAGGGAGAGAGAATCCCAAGCAGGCTCTGCACTGAGCATGGAGCCCAAAGTGGGGCTTGATCTCACAACCCTGAGATCATGACCTGAGCTGAAATCACCAGTCAGACACTTAACCAACTGAGCCACCCAGGCACCCCACCATGTCTGGCAATTGTAAGCCTGCAATAAATAGTAGCATCAAAATGATAACAATAACAATAATAATGCCACCCAGATGTCCCAACAACTCCTTCCAGAACCACAACTAAACCATCCCCCTAACCGACACTCCATACCCTTCTGTAAAATGTTGCAAAACTGGAGGAATACAAAACCATTATTAAAATGGACCTAACCTCAATTTTACACATGCCTGTTTCCTCAGATTCACCTGTGATAGAGATGGAAAACCATCAGTCATGATCCCGCCCCTTCTGTGGGTGTCACTGTGGGAATCATTCAAAGGAACAGCAATGTTGGAGCCCCCTACAAATGGACCCCCAGATTCTGAAAGAGAAATGGGCATAGCAGTGTGATCAGACAGCAGAGGGGTTGAGGGGAATGGAGACAAGGGTTCTTGAAGACCTTTCCAGGAGGGAGCTGACCACCCCCACCCAAGCCTGGTTCTGGCTTAGAAGCTAGTCAGCTGGAAGACGGACAGCAGCTGACTGGGTCGGACAGCCCGTGCCCTCCCAGGCACCAGAGAGCAAGGCATGGGGTCCAGAGACTGCCCCTGGGTGGCTGCCACAGACAATGCCGGGGGCCAGCTTCCACTGCTGAGCTGTCCTGCACCCGAGAGCACTAGTCTTTGTCAAAAGAATGGATTTGTGCAGCTCAGACCCCACAGGGCTTGGGCATTGTGGACCTGTCTGTCTGCATTTCGACACCGGGCTTCAGCCTCTGCTGAAAGGGATCCTCCGGTCACACAGGCATCCAGAGGGGAAGCGGCAGCAATACACAACTTCACCCTTTTATGCCAAGAGTTTTGTGTGGGTCGGGCCAGAGCCCTGTGCTGGGGGCAGTGGAGAGATCCATAGGAATCAGAAGGCCAGCCCCTGCCCTCAGAGAGCTTGCTGTCTAGCCTGGAGAAGGAACCCATAGCATTTAAAGTAAAAAAGGGCTGTCTCTCCCGAGCTCTACCATTCTCATAGCTATTAACATTATAGACATTTGCTCAGCATTTCCTAAAATGGGCATTGAAAACCAGCGATCCTCCTGGAGGCCAGCCGCTAGGAACCAGAAGGAGGTCAAGCTACTGGTGTTATCTTGGGAAAATGTAATGAACTGACCATTCACTACCTTCCACACATTTAAAAGGTAAAATTAAGGGTATGTTCCTAGTCGTTGTTACAACCAAAATGGTTAAACCCAAAATCTGGGTACAAGTTACACAGACTGCTTTAGGTTATTCATCTTGGCTAACTTTCATTTGATAAGGTGTGGTTCAGCTCAGCTAACGTTCCCTCATTATTTGCAGGTTATTTCTTAGAAGGTGTAGGTTTCTTTTGTTACTAGTTATTCATCTTGGCTAACTTTCCTTTGATAAGGTGTGGTTCAGCTCAGCTAACATTTTCTCATTATTTGCAGGTTATTTCTTAGAAGGTGTAGGTTTCTTTTGTTACTAGTT